AATTCAGTTAAATTTTGGGGTCTTTGTTTTTATCCTTGTGGTATCGAGTATCGAATATTTTCCTGAGCATCGGTATCGAGTTGAACATTTTAGTATCGTGACAACCCTAGTGTCTTTCGTTCCAAACTGACCTATTAGTGTCTTATTAGTGTCTTAGATTACTTACTAATTAAGTATTAATTACTTGATTAATTACGTAATCATTATAATAATGAAGCATTAATTAATTAATGAATGATTCATAATTAATGATTAATAATTAATTACTTATGGTAGCCGCTTAATGTTATTATTAGCCGTTAGCTACAGCTAGCAACTCAAGGCTAACATCACGTGAATGCTCATAAACAACGTAAATAAATAAATAAATCAGAGAGAAGGTGGGGGGGGGTATCGATACTATTTAAAATCAATATCGTATCCGGATACAACGTTTTAGTATCGGTGCCTTTTTGAGTATCGATACTTTTGACACCCCTACAACAAGTACAGGTTAAAAACAAAGACCCCAAAAGTTAACTGAATTTTACAGGTTACGGTCTTTTACGGTTGTCAAAAGTATCCATACTAAACCGTTGTATCCAGATACGATACTCATTTTAAAAAGTAAAAATTCTGTTAAATTTTGGGGTCTTTGTTTTTTCTTTTCATTTCAAACTGACCTATTACTGTCTTATTAGTGTCTTAGATTACTGATGTTATGTTGGCCGCTTTAATGTTATTATTAGCCATTAGCCACAGCTAGCAATTCAAGGCTAACGTCACGTTAATGATCATGACCAACATAAAAAAAAAAAAAAAGTCAGAGAGAAAAGGGGGGGGTATCGATACTATTGAAAATGAGTATTGTATCCGGATACAACGTTTTAGTATCTATGCTTTTTTGAGTATCCATACTTTTGACACCCCTACAAGTACAGGCTAAAAACTAAGACCCCAAAATTTAACAGAATTTCGACAGGTTAGGGTCTTTTAGGGTTGTCAAAAGGTATCGATTCGCAAAAAGGCATCGATACTAACCGATGTATCCGGATACGATACTCATTTTAAAAAGTAAAAATTCAGTTAAATGTTGCGGTCTTTGTTTTTATCCTTGTGGTATCAAGTATCGGTATCAAGTTGAAAATGTTAGTATCGTGACAACCCTAGTGTCTTTCGTTTAAAACTAACTTATTACTGTCTTATTACCGTCTTATTACTGTCTTAGATTACTGATGTTATGGTTGTCGGTGGCCAGTTTAATGTTATTATTAGCTTTAGCCACAGCTAGCAATTCAACGCTAACGTCACGTTAATGATCATAACCAACATAAAAAAAAAAAAAAAAAAATCAGAGAGAAGGGTGGTATCGATACTTTTGAAAATGAGTATCGTATCCGGATACAACATTTTGGTATCTATGCTTTTTTGAGTATCGATACTTTTGACAACCCTACAACAAGTACAGGCTAAAAACAAAGACCCCAAAATTTAACAGATTTTCGACAGGTTAGGGTCTTTTACGGTTGTCAAAGGTATCGATACTAAACCGTTGTATCCAGATACGATACTCATTTTAAAAAGTAAAAATTCAGTTAAATTTTGGGGTCTTTGTTTTTTCTTTTCATTTCAAAATGACCTATTACTGTCTTATTACTGTCTTAGATTACTGATGTTATGGTGGCCGGTTTAATGTTATTATTAGCCGTTAGCCACAGCTAGCAACTCAAGGCTAACGTCACGTTAATGCTCATAAACAACATAAATAAATAAATAAATCAAAGAGAGAAGGGGGGGTATCGATACTATTGAAAATGAGTATCGTATCCAGACAACATTTTAGTACCGATGCTTGTTTGAGTATCGATACTTTTGACAACCCTACAAGTACAGGCTAAAAACTAAGACCCCAAAATTTAACAGAATTTCGACAGGTTAGGGTCTTTTACGGTTGTCAAAAGTATCGATACTAAACCGTTGTATCCAGATACGATACTCATTTTAAAAGTGAAAATTTAGTTAAATTTTGGGGTCTTTGTTTTTATCCTTGTGGTATCAAGTATCGAATATTTTCCTGGGTATCGGTATCGAGTTGAACGTTTTAGTACCGTGACAACCCTTGTGTCTTTCGTTTCAAAATGAACTATTAGTGTCTTATTAGTGTTTTAGATTACTTACTAATTAAGTATTAATTACTTGATTAATTACGTAATCATTATAATAATGAAGCATTCATTAATTAATTAATGACTTATAATTAATTAATGATTAATTACTTATGGTAGCCGCTTAATGTTGTTATTAGCCATTAGCCGCAGCTAGCAATTCAAAGCTAAAATCACCTTAATGCTCTTAAACAACGTAAATAAACAAATAAATCAGATAGAAGGGGGGGGGTATCGATACTATTGAAAATGAGTATCGTATCCGGTTACAACATTTTAATATCTATGCTTTTTTGAGTATCAATACTTTTGATAACCCTACAACAAGTACAGGTTAGGTCTAAAACCCTCCAAAGGGCTCAGATTCTGGTCTGACTTTGGCCCGACTTGCCTTCATGTGGTGGGGGGCGTAGTTCAGCGCCTGCCGCAGACAGTCGATGGCCCTCTTGCCTTGACCTTTGACCCTCCAGTACAGAGCAGCCATGCTGGACAACACCCAGGACGTCTGGTTCTGCAGTTCCCGGGAAAAGGAAAGAAAAATGGTTTTGAAAGGAACTACAGTGGGGGAAATAAGTATTTGAGCCCTTGCTGATTTTGCAGGTTTGCCCACTTACAAAGAATGCTTATTTTTCCTCATCAGATGGTTATCAATCTTTATAAATCTCTATCTCACCACTGACTCTGATCAGTGTTTCTCCTCTATATAGCTTATTGTCATAGTGATGAGAAATGTAATATTGTGTCTACTCTGTAAGTCGCTTTGGAGAAAAGCGTCGGCCAAATGCATAAACATAAACATAAATTCATATGATGTGATTTTCTGGAATTTTCTTTGAGATTCTGTCTTTCACCGTTAGAATGTACATATGATTAAAGTTATAGATCGTTGCATTCTTTGTAAGTGGGCAAACCTGCAAAATCAGCAAGGGCTCAAATACTTATTTCCCCCACTGTATTTAGTTTGTGTTACGGGCGCTGAAGTTTGGTGTTAAAACACCGGTGAGTCGCGTTAAAACATGCACAGCCATCACACTGCTTACAGACTCAGAGCAGAGTATTAGATCTGTTACATTAGCAGAGGAAATCTCCACTTTAGAAAAGAAAACAGGTGATAATTAGGTCAGGTTTGGCCTCCCTCTGGACCTCACCGTGTACAACTTTTAATTTGAAATAATTTTTGTTTAAGAGGAATGTATTCTGATCAAGCACTGACAGATAATTAGCAGTCTTAAGGTATTATATGGTTTATTTTTATTTTATTTATTCGTTTATTTGATAGGGACAAGTATGTTTCATGAATCATGTCACACACTACAACATTTTAGCTAAGGCTAATTCTCAATGGCTTTTACACAAAACACAGTGACTGTACACAAGGCCCAACAGAACAAACTACACACTAAAAAATCACAGATACAAGATCAGGTCAGTTATTATTATTATTAATGTTCACATGTCTGACCTCTCAATAAAAAGTCTTTAAGTTTATGTCTAAATGTATTGTTATTGTTGTTATTGGACAACTACCTGGATGTTTCTAATGTAGCACACAGTGTATCGTGTTATAGAAACATCATTAATATTAATATTCCTATCCTAACTCTTACCCAGACCTCTATTCCTACCACTCTTTCTTTCTGTACTTCCCTCTACGCTTTCCTGTCAATATATTTTGCTAAACTAAAGCTAAACTCTGAATAGGGATTTTTCTCTAGAGAGCTTATTTTCTGATTATTGATAACTGGAACACTGTGTCTACTTTGTAAGTCGCTTTGGATAAAAGCAAAGCTAAATGCTAAACACAAACATTAAACATATTACAATAGCAGTCTAGTGTTGAGGAACAGTTAGTTTGAACACGTCCAACAGAAAATAAGCAAAAAATCCCAATAAACAAATACATAAACATATAGAGGATTATCCTCTTTGTCGTTCAGGTCTCAAAGGAAAACAGTTTTTCTTAAACTTACCTTCTCCAGTACTTTAGCAATGCGTGTTCCCACCTGCTCAAAGGACTGAGGGGGGAACTTATCTTTGCCCAGATTCTGAAGGACCTTTTGGTTAAAACAACAAAAGTGAGACTTAGCACATATCAT